GGGGAAGTTTAAATGTGGCCACATTGTGCAAAGAAGATTAGTAACAGAACTGAGGATTGAAAAGAAAGATTACATAAACACTATAAACAGGAAAAGTCAAATAACTGCCTTGGGCTTAGAAAGAGATTAGTTGGGGCTTTGCCTACAAGAAAAGACAAATATCATCACTGATTAATATTTCATTCCTCATCACCCCCATCCCTGAGCCAGTGCACTTGGCCATGTGTGACTCCTGTGGAAGCCGTGCCCTGGTGAGACTCAGTGATGTAGTCTGCATGTGCCAAGAGTCCACTGAAACATGTCCTACCAGGGCAGTCACTGAGATTGCATTCAATCTCCAGAGGGGAGAGCTTGGTGGACCCTGGCACTAGATGGAAAGGCACTGGGACATCCAGCTGGTCTACTGGTGTCACCAAGTTCAGCCTTCTTCTAAAAAAAATACACAACAGGCATAAAGGAAAACAAACATAAAGAATATCTCCCTTGTCCATTAATTTCTAATATAGAAATTCAAACAGAGAATTAAAAATTCCAATATGAAACTAGTGAAAATGACAGATCTAGACAATATGCCACACAATGCCCAAGAGCCACATAGTAAACAAGTTTGGAACCAGTGATCTCAATACAGAGTATGAAGCCCACAGAAATCTACTCATAATATCTGTGGATGAAAAATATCGCTTGCTGTATCAGTAAACAAAGGATGCTGGGTCTGTCAAGCCGTCGGCCACTGCAGCTGTCCCCAGCAGTGCACGCTGAGGGGGCTCAGGAAGGGGAAGGGCAGGACGCTGAACTTAGACAGCGAGGGTGCACATCAAAGGAGTGATCTCATGAGTCCAGACTCTTGCATCTTCCCATACATAGAAAAGTGCTAAAATCATTAACTTGAGATACCTGCTTTTCTTTAATTAACAGTACTCTTTTGATGTTCTGACTGCCTGGTTTTTGTTGCAAAACTATATATCCAGCTTCTCCCCTACCTCTTTGGAGCAGTCCCTCAGAGCTATCTGAGAGGCTGTCTTCTGGCTTTCATAGTTTTGTTCCCAAAATAAAACATAATTCTCAACTTTTAGGTTGAGCTTTTTTTATTTCTTGTCGACACAGCCTTCCTTTCTACATCACTTGGCCTGGGTCTAAATTCCAGTTCCTCCATTCAGTGTATTTGTGGCGTCTCTGTGAGTCAGTTTAAGGGTGATAACGACACTTATACGGCATGATGATTATAACATATAAAACATTTAGATCAGTGTCTGCATAGAGCAAGCATTATATAACTGTTCGCTGCTTTTACTATTGTTATTATTAATTTCCAGGACCTGTTAGATGCACTGTTGAACAGTGTGGAAGGAAACATGCTTTCTTAAATCCACGGTGTAGAGTCATGGAAGAATTCTGCTCATTTCTGCTCTCTCAGGCTTCAGCTGGCAGAGAAACTTTTCACCTAAGAACCTCAGAGGAAAGTTTTGGGGGAAACTGATAAATTTCTAGGCTATTGCATTCTCATCTTTTTAGAGACATATTTTTCTGACACCGATCACTGTCATGTTCACTAGAAAAGAACTTCTCCAATCCCACGACTAGATTCTAAGTGATATTAAATATGTAGTTTTTAAATAAAACTAAAATCATGTCAGTGTTATTGTGACACCTTACAATACTCTTTGAGGGAAGTGGAGATACTATAGACTTTGAACAAAAACAAGAACTAGTGTTTACGGAATTAAAGCCTCATGTTGGCAGAAAGCTAATCTTCTACAAGAAGAAAGGTGATATCCTACTGCTTGACAGGACTGGCTAAGCTGTAAAGCAGAGAGAGTTTAGCTTCCACACTTCTAATTTCTGGTTTCTGTGCTGTCAACCTCCATCTTGGTGACATCTCTCTATCAGGACAAAGTTGCATTTTATATAGCCAAAAACATCCCAGGGATAGAAATTTGTTTTGCTCATGTTTTAAAATATCCAGGGATGGAATGGCGGTTCTGTTACGTCATTAATGACTCAAGTTGCTCTCTCTCTCTCTCTCTATTTTGACATCCTCAGGAGGTTTCTTGTACCTCATGATTTAGGATGGCTGCTGGAGCTCCAGCCTTTATATCTGCCTTCCAGATCATTAGGAAAAAAAGGGGAAAGAAGGATAATTTTCTTTTATTCTTTTTAGAAGACTTTCAAGAAGTCCCCTACATATCTTTTACTTTTTACTGACTATATCTTAATCTCATAGCTACAGTGGAGACAGGACAGCCACACACCCAGCAAAAAATAGAATTCTGTTTAAAACTCACTCCATTGTATAAGAGATTGATAAAGGGTGAAAGTATTAACCTGCCTAAAGAATTTGAAGTATAATAGAATTAAAGCCTTAATCAGTTATTAAACAGGACTTGTAAAATTTCAAGGGAGGGAGAGGTAAACACGGAGCAGAGGCAGCATTTGATATGAACAGAGTGTGAAACCACAGCACACAGGCAACTCAGTCCTCACCGCAGGCCAGTCAGCCTGCACTAAAGGCTTAATATTATCTTCAACTTTTAGCCTAATGTGGTACAGAAAAAGTCCCATTCCTTTAAAATAGCTGCTCCCAGATTGGAAGAAATCCTACCTATTCCCATAGTCAGGAGTAAATTCTTTAAATGGGTTGACTCTGTAAGTTTCCAGCAGTCTCTGCCTCAGAATTTAGCCTTGCATCATAATTGCCAGGAATTGACTACATCAGGGGTTGGGGCAAGACCCCAGGGTTTCTGGTCTGTAGGTTTTGGATTCAACCTGAACAATTGCTTTTCTAACAAGTTCCCAGGTGATGGCATTAGAAGCTAAAGTTTGAGACCCACCGGTAAATGATGTTTTCCTCTGTTCCTTGCTAACAAGGCACCAGGAGCTGTTACAATTCATCTCACATTTGACGAAAGAGAGTTTTGCCTTCAGAAGGGGAAACTTTAAGTTCTTTGTAATCATCTGATTATGAAGCATAAAATGCCTAAGGCTCTTTTGGTGTCCTGCCCTCTCCTCCCTCCCCTCAGCCAAAACATGCATTAAAGTGTTTGCCTTCATTATATAAGGAAATACCTCTTTTTGATTATTCACTTGCACCATTAAGTTTCAACAGAAATAGAACACAAATTCAAGTTTCAGGGAGAAAAATAATACAACACAATACCATTGTTAAATGAAGGACACAGTAAAAAAATAAAAATAAAAATAAATTAAAAATTCAAGCCTGCTTGGGCCAAAAGACACAGGAAAGGAGATGGACAGTGTCCGGAAAATGACAAAATTCCAAGTAAACTGCTGACGACGGATGATTTTAGCTGAGGGAAGACTGGTTCTGGGACTTGAAACTCGTTTCGGGTGTTTCTTAGGTGATGGGAAAATTAATAGATAAAATGCCCCTTTAAAAGTGAGGGAGAAAAGACAGAGCTGGAAAATGCTTCGTATAAATCAGAATTCTTCCGCTAGTAAGTGTCAAGGATGCAGCGGCATGACTGTGTTACCCCGCTGTCTGCCCATCCCCGCATGGCGCCTCGCCTCCCCTGGCCCCACCTCGGCCTCTGCCGCCCTGGGAGAGCCAGCTGGGCCAGAGCATCTGTGCAGACTCTTCCTTTCCTCACATTCAGCCCTGTGGTGGTCCTGTGCCGAGTGCCCATCAATTACTTCTATCTCTAATATCAATCGAGAGTTGTTCAAAGCTCTGGCTGGTCCCTGGCCAATTTAGGTGGGACTCTGCCTGTTTGTGTTCAGTGCTGGCAATCGTTATGACAGATAGAATGAGCAATAATAGACCATGTAATCATATTTTAACAGCAAAATGCACCCGAGAAACCCATCCCCTTCCTTCCCGGAAATGCCCACCCCAGGACCACCAACTCCCTTGAGCAAACCCTCGCTGCACCATGGCGGTCTGCTCCTTCCAGACAGTATCGCAGCACTTTGGGGTGGTTGCTGGTACTTGAAATCATGTTATCTCAACTCCTCATAATTTATGCTCGTTAACTAAGTCTTTCTACTCCATGCAGGGAGAGCTGGAATTCCCTCGATACCGCCCCTTCTGGTTCCTGATGAGCTCCTACAATCCATAAAGACCCAACTCAGCAGACAGCAGCTCCAGGGAGCCTCTCCTGCGCCCCTCCCCACCCTTCCCCGCCAGCCTGTATGTGCCCTAACCCCCTGGGCTTGCCTCGGGGGCTAGATTTGCTTGTAATTTTCAGTTTTACAGCTGCTTCCTTCACTCAACAGTGGGTTCCATGAAGCCACCCTGTAATAGGGAAGAACAAATCTGACTCCATATTAGCTCTGTTCCTTTGGCTCTAACCCTGTGCTCTGTTTCCTGGGCTCAGTCATGCTGGTTCTGCACCTTTTGTAAAAGAATGTCACCTAGAGCCTGAAATAGACAGGAGAGCCCACTCTCAAGGCTCTCTAATTGGACGTTTGTTCCTACTGCACCATGATCCTGGCCTGTTCCTATGCTGTTCATGCCTGGTTTTAAGTGTAACTAAAAGCCATTCTGGGGCCCAGATTTTCAGTTTCTTTATTTAGGTGCTGAGTAGGATTCTAGGCAGGACTAGCACATCTGTTTTCCATTTCTCCCGGAGATAGAAGACCTCTTACCCCATGTAAGCCCCTAGGGGCAACCCTTATGTCCACGCTCAGCCCAGTGTGGTCAGAAGGGGACTCAGACCTCCTGTGTTCCCGCCTTTGACCTTCTGTGTCACTGTCCTGAAGTGGCATCTGAATGTCAAAACTGTTCCATATGTGGCCGCCTCCCACACACATCTTTTCTTACAAAACCCTGAAGTAAATGTGTTTTGGGTCCGCAGAGCCTTCCTCCCTCTACACTTTCTTTTATGCAAAGCCCTCGAACATTCTGCTGTTTTTACACCCAAGTCCGAATTCCCCAGGTGCCCGGCTCTAGGCTCTGTCTAACCCGTGAGAGCACTGGCCACTCCCACGAGTGCCCCACCTCCCATCGGCCAGCCAGGTGAGAGAGTGGGGAAGTGGCTTGATCACATTTGAAGAGAGTGTCCTGTTACCCACGGGGCCAGTGGACTCTCTCTTCTTTTAGATACCTGGGTGCGGAGGGAAATTCTTGAAAAAGCAGATTTGGGGTTGACTCTGGAACGAGCCTGCCTGAAAATAAAACCACCAAAAACGGGGCGGGGGAGGCAAGCCAAGAGGGGAAAGGGGCAGGGCGTGAAGGAGGTGGAGGGAGAGAGAGCGAGCTTAGAAGACACTGCAACCGAAGCTCTGCCCTTGGACTCGCCAGTGACCTGAGCCAATAAATTATATTAAGTCAAAAAATAAATAAATAAGTAAAGGCTAGACACAATGAACTGCTGTCCACAACTATTTGTCCTTGTGATGTACCTGCCCCGGAATCTCCCCCTGGCTTCCTTGTTTAACTCTGCTCACTGTGACCTCAAAGCTGTCAGCAGAATTTCACGCTCACAGATTCCCAGATAAGGTTTTCTGTCCTCCCTGGGGGTAAGCGGATTTCTCCTGCTGACCATGCCCGCGGCTCTGTTTTTGCTCTGTAAGTAAGTTTTGGGGTCTCACTCATTCCTGGTCTTCCAGTGACTCCAGCCCATGGAAGCCCATGATGGTCCACCCACATTCTATCTCATCGCATCCCTAGTTTCCTTTGTTTTTTCCACTGGTCCCTAAAGCACACACAGCAAATCTACCTACGTACCCAGCTGAGATCAAATATCCCTTCAGAATATCAGGTAACCCTCGAAAAGCAAATACCCTAATCAGGGGTGTAGGTCATGTTAGTACTTGAGTGGTATATCTGCTTTCTGAGACCAAAGATGTGTTCCACTCAAAAAGAGGACAGAGATTTCAGCCGTGCGACAGAGCAGCAGGGTTGGAAGGTCTCCCAGTCTTCTTCAAGCAAAGCCACACCCAGGATGTTGATCACTCCCTGCTCTGCTCTCACTTCCTTCCAAGCAAATCTGCTCCTCCTATAGTCCCTGCTACCTGGTGGACTGTGTTTCATACTGGGTTACCCCATCTTATCCAGAGTCAAGCAGATGACAGTGGGAAAGGCAGGCAGAAACACAGGTTGAACACCTGACTCACA